ATTTGATAGAATTTTAATGAGCTATTCTCTTCTTCTATACCTACTTGGTAAACTGTCTTCCATTCCATAAGTTTTAAACCAAAATCTTCTTAGGAAAAGAGATTTTCGTATTCTAGTTGTTTTTTTTTTTTTTTTTTTTTTTGCTATTATTTGTTATTCCCTCAATTCAGTACGGGTTAAGATAAATATCACTAAACTATATCTGTTGTTTTTATTTTATTGTATTTGTTTCTTGGATATCTGCATATAAAGTATAAAGTTGCGTTGAAAACAGAATTTAATATTTTCCTTGGACGAAATATTTATGTTAAACCTTTTTATAAAATTAAAAATTGAGGTTTTCCAATTTCTTTGTATTAAAAGAAAAACATATTTGTTCTGTTACGTAACCAACTAAAAAAACTATATTTATTCATTCAATTAATGTTTTATATGTTTTTACATACAATAAAATTTATCCTTTTGATATATTTATAAATAAAAGTAATTTTTAAATAATAATGTTGTTGCAACACTTTTTTTAAGATTATATTTTAATAGTATCAAATATTCATATTATTGTTTTTTTTCTTTTTATATTTGTAATTTATTCATTTTCATCCTTCAAAATGAGATATAACAGATTAATTATGATTTGCTTTTATTACATAATGAGACGGTATAGTAATTTAACGAAAAAAGAATTTCTAAATTCAATTATAAAAAAAAAGTTATGGAAGTATGAATACAAATTTTATTTAGAAATCTTACATTTGTGGTGAAATTTAAGGAAATATGAAGAAGTTCATTTTTGAAGAATAAAACCTTGAAACTCAGAAACTAAAAATTTTTGTTAATTATATGCAATTTCGAAGATGTTACTCTAAAAATTCGAAATTTATAAGACTCATAAAAACATTTATTTTACTTTTTATTAATTTCTTAATACAATCTAAGACGTCATTAGAAAGTTAAGTTGCGAAAGCGAAGAAGAAAAAAATTTCGAGAAAAAGACGTTTGAAGTTTTTATTCACGATATTAAGAATATATGAGCCGATTTATTTCTTCTGCTGCTAAATTAACAATTTTCAAAATGTTGATATAAACTTGCAATAAGATTATTCTAAAAGAGTTTTACTTTCGAAAAATTTAATTAAGTATATTGGATTATATAACAGATATATAGTTCTGTGAAATACAAGTATATTAGTAAATTTCATTTTCTTTCATATACTTGCAATCATTTATTAAAATATTTTTTTTATTATATAAATATAATACCTTAAAATTTAATTTGAATAAGGATTTATTGAAAATAAAAGAAAAGCTACGAGAAAGTTGATGACAATATTTTTTAAAAAGTTTTTATTATCAATAATTGAACTATGAACTGGATAGAATCAAATATTACTAAAAAAAAAAAAAAACAAAGGGAGGGGGGTGGGCAAATTCCATTAAATTTAAAAGAAAAAAATTTCCTTTAATTTATGAAACAAAAATTTTTAGCCAATGAACAAAAAATGATGGAGTTCAGAATATATCATTTAACCTTTAATAAAATAAACGCTAAAAATGTATGGAAATAAACATTTTTCAATGTATATCGTTGTCAGTGATCATCTTATTTATTGATAAATTACCGCATAATGAACAAAATGATTCGATAAAAATTCCATCAAGTCGCACACACTTAAGAGAAATTCACGTCAATGATTAATCAAACAACCTCTTCTCCCTTAACTCACACAGATTACCATCGATAAATGTTCACGACACTTGTTTTTACTCGATATTATTCCTAATCATTGAAGTGAATAGAAAGTATGAATATGTGGAGAACTAGAGTTGGATTGGAATTACCTTCACTGATCTACGGACTGCTCTCTCACTCTCTCTCTCTCTCTCTCTCGCTCACTCACTCACTCACTCACTGCACACCGTCCATTCAAATCCATGTTCGCGTAATTTCATTCTCTTATTAAAAATGGCTTATTTGTATGTTTCGTGATAATCAAATTTCAAATAAGACCGTCTTCAATTTCTTAATTCGCAACTTCAAAACTATTATTCGCAGATAATATGAATATAAAAAAAAAATTAACTTTAATTGATACTTAAATGATTAATTCAATCAATTTATTTATTGACAAATATTACACAAATAGACAAATAGACTAATATCTATTATAGCACTTTCTATATTGAGATTCAAATTCTTTACTTAGAAATTTTTCATTCAATTAAAGTTAAATAATTTTTTTCAATAATTACCTTTTAATTGTAATTTACGCCACAATATATTCGTTATTATGTAATTATAAAGGAAATTGGGATGTTATAAAATCGGTAAATTATCTGAAATTAATGACTTTTCTCTAAATTGCCTCGGATATTTGGAATAAAAATAAAAAAAATATATCATAATCAATCATATTTACCGCTGAATTTTCATATCTCCCATTTTCTTACTCTGTAAGTGAATCTTTTACTTTCTCGGTGATATTCAGCAACTAAAATGCCATGGTTGCTGCGTAACCGACTCGTAGTCCTCAATTATTCATGAGCGTAGTAAAGCAGCAGAAATTTACTCAATAAACTTGTCGCGCATTTCGATGCTGAAATTCCAAAGAGGACTTTTGTATATCTAAATGTCTTCATAGTTCAGATTATCAATTACTTCCTGTTCTATTACTGACCGATTCGTCGGACTGATCTCTTATATTTCTCTCTCTCTCTCTCTCTCTCTCTCTCTCTCTCTCTCTCTCTCTCTCTGTCAATCAGTCTTCCTATATTTATTCCTTTATATATGTGTATACAAATAATTTTATCTGTGTCTCCTCATCATTTCTATATATTTGAGAGAAATTCGAGTCGAGCGATTTCACTTTTTTACTTTATATTTTATCTGATTGATGTGAAATATACGAATAATTAATTATATATCATTATGCTGCAAAAAAACTAAACTTTTCACCCATGTTCTTTTTTGGTAATAATGATTATTTTACTACTACTTAAATATTTGTTATTAAATGAAGTATTTCTACAGATATCTTATGTTATTTTTGTGTTATTTTTAAGACAAAATCACCTTTACAACTGGCTTTTCCACATTTTATTTTAATTCTAATCATATTATACACATTTATGCTTAAAAGTATTAAAAATCATTCAGTATTATATTAACTATTGACAGTATTATAATAAAAATTAAACTAAAAAAACAAATAAAACTATCTTATCAAAATTTTTTTTATAATAAATAATTTAACATTTAATATATATTGTATTTATGATACAATTGTAATTTTCCATTATTACGTAGGAGAAAGTTTATTCTAGCACTTTTGTTTCGTTTCATTAGCATTATTAAACATTAATTATTGACATATAAATTAATCATTCCATACTAACGAATTCGATGTAGTTAAGAAAATTACATTACACTAGTATTTCTAATAATCTACTAAAACAATTCCAGTCTATCATAAAAATAATTTACTTACAATTATTATGCCAATTTCAAATAGAATAAATAAATTTAATTATACATATAAATATTATAACGCTCGTGTTCTATGCTTTGTCGACAGTTCTCAATAGAAAATTGCCTTAATAGCAAATTAATTATAAATATATACGGCTAAAAATAAATAAATCGTAAATCATTTTTACACGTATTATGAATGAAATATAAGTAATAAAAATCTTATGTTCACGAATTTTTCATTAATCTACCAAATCATGCCATTTGTAGTCGATTTTATTTAAGTCGATTGTATTTAAATATTATGTAGCAAGTAATAGTGACGTAGTCTTAAAAAATATGTCTTTTGCATAATCGGTGGAAAAGAAATATCTTTATATGAAATTATGTAAAATTAATTTTGAATCTAAATGTACTCTTAGAATATTAATTATATAATATCTATTTTTTTTTTTATAAGAAAATTTTAAATATAAAGTTGCAAAATTATAGAATATAAAAATTTAGATGAATTTTAATTTTGAAAGCAGGTTTTTTTTCATCTCAAAATAATAAAAACCATAATTAAACAAAACTGTTATTTCGTTGAAAGCAAAATATTATGAAAATTCATTCTGAATTGCGACTAAACCTTAATTGCCACAAATCAAGATTTAACTATAATTTAAATTTAAATTTAATAAATGAAATCGCTTTAAACAATTAACGTATACAAAAATTATTGATACAAGTGTTATCCAATTAATATTTAATTATATAAATGAATTACTATAATGTTTTTCATATTAGTAAGAGCACAGTTTGTCTTTTATTATATTATTATTATGATTATTATTATTATTATTATTATTATTATTTTTTTTTTTTTCTAATTGACAAATATATGAGGCAAAAGATTTTAATGACATTATTAAGTTTGCAAAGAAGAGGAAATAATAATGTATTGACTTAGAAGATTCATAACTTGAATTATGTACACGCCATTAATTTTATAATAATCAAATAAAAATGGAATACAATTGTTATTGCAATATTAATTATAGGAACGTAATAATTTATCTATTTGATAGAGTATCCTATGTAATTTTACTTATACCCGTAAGAAGTATCTAGGATATGTTAATTATTTTGTAAGTGTAGTCGAATAAATTTAGCATACTTCAATGAGAAATAAAAGAATTTAATTGCAGATGACAAATTGCTTACTAAATCAGTAATAATGAAAAAATTAAGAGAGCGAGACCGGGAGTGAGAGAGAAGAATAGTCCAATGAAAGTGAAAGTCCTTATAATTCATCTTGATAAACGTAATCTCCGACATTGAGAGTTGATCTATCGGTAATGCAACGAATGATCATTCGGCCTACCTTAAGAAAACTCAAGGAATTGCCAACAACGAGATAGCGAAATAAGATAGGCAAAGTAATTTGACTGAATTTTAATTCATCAACTCCTTTCCCTTCCATCGAGGCGAAACTCAATCGTTACCTCGGTCCCGTACACACATGCTGACACGCCAAAATAGTCGTCGCTCGTCCACCGGGCAACGAGTCGCGCGCGTATATTATCGCTCCATTTTTCAATTCTTGACAGTTTTTCACAGCGATCAGTTTCTCCTTATGCCTCCGGCCATTCGCTATTTAACATTAAAGCCATTCGACTCTATCGCGCCTGTCAATTCATCGACAGTCCCAAGTTAAGTGCGGCTCAGCCCGCGTACGCCCTCGTTGAAAAAGCCAGTGTTTAATGCAGTGTCTGTGAAAATATGTGAATGCATTGTGTGATAAATAAGACTGTCGAATAATATAAGGATACCCGAATCGCGGGACTTGCAATTTCATGGGAATGCCATTTGTATGGGAATATGCACGGCTAGCTCGAACTGGATAATAATACGGTCAATTGGGCATTGCTGGTTAAATTGTATAGAATTTTAATTGCCAAGGGGATTGTTGCCAGAAGCCGTTGGCAGGACACGTGCCGATCGAACGTCGTTAATACAATAGCCATATATTTTATGGAATTTCGATAAATCGTAATAATATTGAGCGCAAAGTCGACGAATGAATCGATAATGAATCGGGCGTACGTCGCGATGCTCCTCGGAGTCCACCTCGGAGTCCTCCTCGTCGTCCAGACGATGGCCGAGAAGAAAATCGTCCTCGCGGAGCTGCCAGAGCTCGAACTAGGTACCGGTGACTCCGGGGAGGCCCTACCAATCGCATACGAAACCGACTACGACGGCTACACTTTGCCCTTCATAGCGCGCGACCTCGACTTCCTGCTTGGGCTCATCGAGCGCATCGGCAACCCGGCCTGTCGCCAGCAATGCCAGCACCTCATCTCGGGTCTGCACAACCTTACTACGTGGGCTGTCGAATTTTACGATGCCTCGGGTAAGCTGCCCGAAGGCATTCTCAGGTACGGGCGAATGGATCGATGGTGAAAAGGAGAGCGATATTCGAGGCGTGGCCAGTCGATATTATGACATACACGACGAAAGCATACGCGAACGCCTGATATGTGAGAAAATGTCCAAGCGATGCATTGTGACAAAATTGCGGGCGCAACACTTTTTCACTTTTTGTCCCTCCTCGGCACGCTATTCTGCTCTAATCCATACGGCTCGACTTTAAATAAGCATTATTCTTACGACGATTATTCAATTTGCTTTTATTGTTTTAGTGTTTCCTCGTTTCACGGATCAACGCAGCCTTTTATCCACACGAGGGTATTTCATATTTCTTGTACTACAAGCAAATTATTACCCGGTCGATTACATTTTATCTAATCCTTTCACAATGCCAGTCAACGTGTCGCATAAATTTGCGTTTTTAATGAGACTTGGAGAAATTTCGGGCAGGAAATTTTTGAATGTTGAATAACGATCGATACCGGTCTTTACCAAAGAACTTTTTCTTTTTTTTTTTTTTTTTTTTTTTTTTTTTTTTTTTCGTATTAGATTCAAAATTATGACATCGCTGATAATTTTAATGACCTACTTTTCTAATGTTAACTTCCTTCTACAAGCTAATACACAAGGACTTTGGGTATTTTTAAGGGTTTGCCAGTCATTGCATGGATTTCTTAATTATTATGCGCAAACAATTGTTTATAAGTGCACTACATATTAAGGGATAAATTCTTCATAAATTGTCTAGTGTGAAAAATATGTTTAATGTAAAAACTGATTCAAAATTTTTATTGTACAAAAAATGCAAATGAGCTTCGTTAGGAGAAAAGCGTTTGTATTTTTACAAACGCTTTTTACTTTTATCGTAAAAGAACATTATGAAATAAACGACGTTAACAATCTTCTCTTTAACGTGCTAATTAGTAAAAATATACTGTTTAAAGGAACGGGGGGGGGGAGAGGATAAAAATGAAATTTTGTTGAAAAGAAAATAATATTTTATATAACTTTAATGTACTAATGTACGTTCTAAAGACGTACTTTACTAATTTTTTACGAACTTTGAAATTTTAATGATTAGTGTATTACTAAAAAAATGTTTAAATACTTGTAATTTATATATATATATATACATATATATATATATATATATATATAGTACTAGTTAACTTATATAATTTTTATATAGACTTTCCTTTCTGGTACTGAATAATCTTTGTGAAAATTAATACAGATTGGAATTCACGATTTTAATCTCATTTGAAAGTTAATCAGAATAAAATCAAAATAAAAATATTTTTTTTAATTAAGTCTACTCTTAAAATACTTACATTTCACTTGAATTTCATTCTCCAATAATGATAATTATAATAATTTTACAAGATACAATAACAATTTCAACTACCCTATCCAATCGAAGAAAGAAAGTATTTCAATGATTCATTATTATTCATCGCAAATTAAATAATGACTAAATTTTATTTCCCATTCAGTGGCTCGACCTATCATCTTGGCAATTTCGATGAATGTCTGGGAATCGGCACGAATATTGACGACGAGACGCCTTTAGGCATCAGAGGCCAATACTGCCTTAGTAATATAAAAATCGGCGTGCCCGAAGATCACAATGTCAATAGTATTTTATCACCGATGTGGAAGAAGTTTATGAAATTGGAGCAGCGATACGATGATAAGATTGACGAGCTTCATTGGGGCATTTGCGTGCCAAATTCCTGCACGAATAAGGACGTCGAAGAAGTTATTGAGATGATTTTCGCCAATACCCTGGCCAGGACAAATTTCAAAGTTACAGTCAAAATTCCCGATATAGCTTGCTATAAGGATAAACCCTTATCTATTAATGCATATGAAATTGCTTATTTGTAAGTTGCACCGTAAATAACAATTCATCATAGAAAAAAATCGTAAAACCGTAAAAATTATATATTAAAATTTTTTAATATAATACATATATATATATATATATATATATATAATAATTTATTAAATAATAAATAAATATTACTGGATTAAATATTAAATATATTGTTTGATCGACCATTTGAATTAATCATTCTTCGGATTAATGCTTTAAATAGTAAATATGTGTATTTATGTTGACGCAAAAAAAAATAAAATAATAATAATAATAATAATAATAATAATAATAATAATAATAATAATAAATAATGCACGTACTTACATTTTGAAGATAAGTGAATTTATCGAATACATTCGGAGCATAATTTTTTCTAACTTCCATTGCTTTTAACTACTTTAATTTGCAGAGCTGTAATATCATTGGTAATCGTAATCATAATTTTGGGCACAATTTTTGACATTTGTTACCTGAAGAGCTCCGATCAAGCTAGAAGAAGTATTTTAGCCCAAATTCTACTGGCATTCTCGATGCCATCAAATTTAAGGAAATTGTGTAGTCCAGCTCACGATGAATTTAAATTTGATTGCATCTCGGGTATGAAGTTTCTTGCTATGGTTTTCATAATAGCTGGACACACTCTTATTTTCGTCGTCAGTGGACCAATACTCAACAAAAAATTCTGGCACGAGGTATATTTATTCGTCGTAGATAAGTATTTAACCGTATGATAAAAATTCTTCTTTATTCTCACAAAAACTATTATCATCTCAAGAAGAATCCAATACAATAGAACTTTTCATTAAATAGTATATTAATTACTGAATAAAGTATGTTAATTTTTTTAATTTTTTTAATTAAAAATTGTTTAAAAAAAAAACTGTAATTGAAAATTACAAACACCTTTTGACTCTATAGGAAAAGATCCCATTATCATATGTTCTGTATGAATATTTTTATTATTTTTACTTTTTTTTTTTATTTTTTTTTTTTTTTGTTTTTTGGTTACGCTACAAAATCATTATGTCGTCACTGCATTACCATATCCAGTTTCTGCAAGCCATAGCTTTTTTTTATAAATAAAATAATAAAAATTGAATTGAAAGTAATATTTTTAAAACATCATAGAGTAAAATTTATTCTTTCACTTACTAAATCACTTTATTACTTTATAAAATATTAACTGAATTTCCAATAATTATTACGGACTATAATTTTATAAATACTAAATATACACCACATTTCATTTAGATTTTCAAAAACGCGTTAAAAAATCATAATACCGATTCATAACTAATTGTTGCCTTGTTAACTATAAATTGTCTTTATCAAATAAATATCTCATAAGTTATATAAGTTATAATATATATATATATATATATATATATATATATATGTATATTAAAAATTCTTATAAATAAATGACTAACAATAATCAAAATTTAAATGTAATCCAATTGCGTAGTTTTATATTCTATATTCACATTAATAAGCAATGAAACATAATTATTATTTATATATATTTCAATCTTTTAATGTGGCAGAGATAATAATCAATATTATATACACTAAAGCATAATTGTTTACTAGCTTTGAATAAATAATGCCGAATGTTAAGATCGTTTGTAAATTCAATTGTTTTATATCCTGTTTATCTCGTTTTGATTAATATATTGTCATTTATATTTATTTCATATTTATTCGTTATAAAAAGAAAATATCTTAGTAGGATATTAGTATTAGTCGAAATAGTCTTTTATTTCTGAATATATTTTTATGATATAAGTTTATGATGCATGAAATTTTTCCTATTATAGGCAATTGGGAAAGTGGAAAACTCGGTTTTCTTGAACAATCCACTACTTGTCGACACATTTCTTCTATTCAGTGGCTTTCTTTTTTCACGAATTCTCCTGCAAGAACTTGACAAACAAAAATCTGTAAACTTCATATTGCTGTACTTCTACCGCTATCTTAGGTACTACATTATGAAATTAGTTCCTTTCATGAAATCATTCATCGTAGTTGTCTAATATGTTTTTTACGCATAACCTAGGTACACATTACAAACTCATGATTCGTAATGTTTTTTTTTTTTTTTTTGCTTGTAATAACTTTTTATGTAATAATATATTTTATTAAAATATCATTGAATACACCAACATAGGAAACTAGATTAAAGCAAATCTTTGATCTTTCACTTTCAATAATTTGCCTTTTAGTTTACGAGGTCAAATATTCTTTCCCCTTACGACGAGCTGTATTTTATAAATGAAATTTCATTATAAATTGTATAATATTTCTTTTCGATGTGATTCGGTCCGATATGTAGAATAAACTTAGTTATTTAAACGATAATAATAGTATTAATACATTGTCAAGGCACGTAATTCCAGACGTGTGAGAAAACTAACGTATAGTTAATATAAAATTTGTTTTGCATTAATATTATGAAAGAAATAGCTCAAACATGAAACGTAATGCAACTCGAAGCAGATATAAAATATTTGACGTTATATGTACAATATTGACAGGACAATTGAAATAATATTTTAAACGCACTGGCAAAATAGTACATTACGTACGTTATTCTTTATCCACAAATAATAATTATCATTAAATATTGGTAATGAGTAGCTTAAAGAATAGTTTAAAAATGTCTTCTAATTCAATAAATCAAGATAATTAAAACGTATAAAGATTTACTCAAAAGTACAGAAATTTCAAAAATTATATCAAATATGCGTAATCTGATTTTTTCAAGAGCAATATTGACAATATATGCATTTAATATATTATTTTCACATATCATTTCGTCACTCATCGCTTCAGAAATAATTATAAAATAATCGAGATGCTAAGCAAGAGTCTCTACTCCTTTAAACAAATCACGCGGCAAATTATCGTATAATAGTATATAACACCGTTTTAAACACATGATTAAACAACTAATCCCATTTAATTTTCTTTTTTCTTTTGTTTTCAAATTAAGACAGTACCGGCGTTAAAATACTTAGTCATTTAGGCTCCGATCGATTGAAATATTACACAATTCACAATGCCAAAGCAGTTAGTTATAAAAGCAATATAAAGCTCACGTGCAACTTCCGCTGTTTTCACCTTTGTGCTTGTGTTAATCTCTAATTTTAAAACGTATGGTGAATTCGTGATTTTGCAGACTGACGCCAGCGTATATGGTGATGGTCGGCCTTTACGTGACTTGGCTGCCGAAGCTGGACTCAGGACCGCTATGGTCTCGAATGAAATTGGAGAATGAGCGATGCCTCGCCTCCTGGTGGGCTAACATACTCTACATCAACAACTATGTCAACACCGATCACATTGTAAAATATTCTTTTTTATTTATGTTGATCTTGTTACAATCAATGTAATTTCTCTTTCTTTACGGATATTCCTTGCGAAATTTATCATTTTATAACCTCTGGCACGTACACGCTACTACACGCTCTTATCATATATATAATAGACGAGATTTGTTTGTTTATTTATTTTAGATCTCCCTCTCTCTCTCTCTCTCTCTCTCTCTCTCTCTCTCTCTCAAATTTATGTTAATGGTAAATGTAATGATTAAAATCACTTTGAAATAATGCGCTCTGAATACTTCGTTCGTTATTAGATTTTCGCCAATAGTAAAATTAAAAATTAAAATTATACAACGAGTGTTCTCCATTCAAATATCTGAAGCTTCACTTTTTTTTACCTTTTAATAAATTGTTCATTTGCTTTTTTATTTTAGTGCATGTTCCAATCGTGGTACTTATCAGTCGACACTCAATTGTTTGTATTAGCGCCGGCAATTATATATCCTCTGTGGAGATGGCGTAAACTGGGTCACGTTATACTTGCTACAGTTACCATAATTTCGACGATTTTACCATTTATTATGACTTTGGTTCAAGACTTGGATCCTACTTTATTAATATATACTGCGTAAGTGCGTTTCTCAAATTCATCACTACTACTGTTATTACCCTAATAATATATCGAATATTCCGTCAATATGTTTTTTACAATATGAACTCTGTGCTTGTGATAATTAATATAGTCATTAAAAGGAATATTAAAATAAAAGAAAGATGAAAAAAAAAAATTGAAAGATGAAAAATATTCCCTTATTGAATTACAGAGAAGTTAAGGATATTTCTACGAATGAATACTTCAAAAGCAGTTATATCAAAACACACATGAGAGCCAGTGCATATTGCTTCGGTATTTTGTACGGTTACATCGTCTACCGTATACAAAATTCAGATAAAAAAATTTCTAAGGTAAATATGTCACGTTCGTTTTCTTATATAATAATATATCTTTCGAAAGAATTAGATAAAATCGGCTGCTTCATTTAAATGAAAGCAAGTGAAAAACTTTTATTCATTTATACATTTCAATATATAAATAAACTTCCTTAAGCGTATTTATAAAGTTATTTATAAAGCATAAATAATAGTAAATTAATATATATATATATATATATATGAGTAATTGCATAGATATAATTCAAATTCATCATTCAACGTTAAATTAGTTGATCCATTGAAAAAGCATTTTCTTTTTTTAACTTTATGAGATAAAATAGAAGAAAAAGTTGTGTGATGTAAATATGTGTATGTACTGTATGTATTAAATTTATATTCAATGCGTCAGAATCATAATGCACGTATTTGGAAGAAGTAATGTAATAAATCTGAGTAATGCTGCAAGAAAATTCATGCCTTTCCACATCAAAATATTTACAATCGTATTAATGGAAGTACTCGGATTTGAATTTTGAGAATATATAATTATAAATAATGCGGTATTTTGAAGCTTTTGCATTAGCAAACAATTATGAGATACTTGAAATAAAAGCATCCAAGTTCAAATGTCGCTGAGAAATTACAGAATTTTAAAAGTCGAAAACGATTTAAAACATTATCCTTCATACGGCTCGTTGACATGGATTGATTCGACACTTATTACTTCTTTCAAATCCTAACAAAAGCCTAAATTGGCGCCCCGATAGTCCTAAATCCTGTTACTGTATATTATAATATCTCTGTTTAAATGTAGAATACAGTTGCATGTGGATGGCTGGTGAGTAGCTTTGCTCTACTGGTGTCCATGTGCTCGATTAGCGTTTTTTATGGTCCGAGGAAAAATTTCACCACCGTCGAAGCCGCCTTTTATTCGTCGATGCATCGAGCCTTATGGAGCGTCGGCACTGGCTGGGTTCTGCTCGCCTGCATAACCGATAATTCAGGTGACACGTCTCAAAATCTTATTATCGATACGGCAAGACGGGTTAAATAAATTAAATCGCGTTAAATAAATTTCCACGACAAAAAAATAAGTTATTGCTCCAAGTAAGGGAGAAGTTACTTAACGGAGTTGAGTATTTCGACGTTCGTGTTGAATCGAGCAAGAATTTCGTATTGAATTGATAATTTTTCTCATATTATATAGCCTCGGAGTTCGATGCTATGCGTAAACTAATAATAAGGTAATTAATTGATTAAGGTGATTAATCGCAAAATTAATTAGTAAAAACATTGGCCATAATAACATTGTCATAATAATTTTGGCCGCAATTTTAAATATACTTTTACAGCATTCCCAATGGAAAAAATATATTTTGTTTATTATGCTTGTAGAATATGTATTTGCGAATGAAATAGCAAAAGCAATAGCTACAATTAATTGATCGTAGACAATATGTAAAGCACGAGCGACTAAACTAGCCCAAACTTTTCAAATTTAATTGCTAATATTTACATGATAACATAATGTTTTCATCCATTTCAATTTTCATAATCCTTGTAGGTCCACTTAGGAAGGTTCTCAAGTGGAGACCTTTTATACCATTAAGTCGTTTAACTTACTCGGCGTATCTTGTCAATGGCCTCGTTGAGCTGCATAGTGCTTCGACTATTCGAACGCCACAATATCTCAACAATTTCAGTTTGGTAAGAACATTCGTCGCTACTCATAATTTATCTGTCTAAATATTTAGTTTTATCTTAGTCGCTAGTCGATATTTTAAGCATTGGATGATTGATTAGAGGATTGATATTCGTGTTGATGAAACGTGTGTAGCAACGTAGAATTATCGTCGAGGCATAGATATTATGAAAAATTTATGCAAATAGACGGCCAATATATAACTATATAAATATATTGTCAACAAAAGTTTATTTATTTGGTAGTTTGGCAAAATATTATCTCATCTGATGTTAACACTTGGCGGTGCGGTATTGCTGTCAATTATGTTCGAGTCACCGATTCTTGGACTCGAAAGAATATTTTTGCATCGTGGTGAGTACGAACGTTCACATTTATTAACGCTGAGCGACTTAAATCCTTAAAGCGATCGTAAATCCATTATTATTATTTATAAATATAAGCCATATGTGATAAATGTATACCACTTTTATTTTTACTTTTTCTTTTCTTTTTTTCTTTTTTTTTTTCTTTTTTTTTTTTCGTTTCTAGGGAAGAAATTATCGGTTACGCTGACAAAGAAGACCGACAGCGAGGAAACAACCACAACAGAGGCTTGAATCTAATTACGAATAACTTTGTTTAAAATACTTTTTTTGTTCAAAAAAAAAAGTTGAATGATCATTGCGTGGGTATCTACGCTGATTATTTGATCATTTTTACACAATTTTCCATTGATATTTCTCAATGTATAGTTTTTTTTTTTTTTTTTACTCCAATTTATACTCGACGAGGTTCTTGTAATTTATACTTTTTTCTTGTTTTACTATTAAAATAACTTATTGGTTATACAAAAATTATCTGCTATTTAATCGTCTTCTTCAATAGTGATATTCTCTTTCATAAGTAACTAAGTATCATCTTCTTTTTTTCAAATAGCATTAATACATTAAATAGGGAAGCCATTGGCTGCTTAAATATTCTATATTAGACTTTCATTCGATTCATTTTTCAATTCGTGTTGGTTTATAAATAATTTCATGCTCGCTAACGCTTTAAACGTGGATCATTAAAATTCAAGTGCACTCATCTAAACGAAGATGTTTTAAGACATGTTAAACCATATATTTATATTTTCGAGAATATGATTAAAATATTTGCTTCGAGCTAAATTAACAAAATAATTAGTTTCGATCAAATTAACCTTTATTCTAAAAAGATTATTATTATTCCTCGAGTTATGTCGCTTTTAATAAATAAGAGTACGCTGCAACTGTAAAATATAAAAAATAAAGAAATTATGTTCTAAGCTATAAATGTGAATTAATACATATTGAATATTTACAAACTGCATAAATACATAAGATTTTGTATTCTTTAATAACAAAAATACTTGACAAAAAAAAAAAAGAAAAAAAAGAATTGTATTCACCATATAATGTTTAATTATCTTAGGTGACTAAAAATAAATAGTAATAGCAAATTAAAAAATATTCAAGAATCAGTTTTTACCTTTACGCTAATGTCGAAAGATTACTAATAGCATCGCATTACATAAATAAAATTGTAAGTTTTAATTTCAAATTACGATGACATTTTTATGATGCCTCATGCTCTCCTAACCAATCTTTCATCCATTCCCAATTATTCGTAAATAAATTAAAGTGGATTAGCATTGTAAATACTCGTAACATCGTAATTCCTAATAAAACGTAAAACATTCACAAACGTAAAAAAACAAAAAACAAAACATAACTTTCTTCTTTCTTTTTCACGAAACCGCATATGTAAAATAATCCATAACATTGTATAGTCTCTTATTAAATTATAATAATTCGCTTTATCAAGTGTCCCTTTCCGAATTTTCATCTGACTCGTGCGCATTTGGGTGACCGTTAAGTTCCTTTCCATTCGCCTCTTTCGACATTGACGCTACTAATAATATTTCAGATTCACAATTTCTTTTGTTAGCATCAATTTCATTATTAGAGCTCTGCGTATCAAGAGCAACATCGCAGGCAATATCCACCACATCATTTTCCTTTGATTTATCAATATCATTCGTTTTTGCCTCTTCACTCCTATTTTCTAATTCCTCATTTTGCTTCGGTAAAGTAGCGCTCGACGTTTTATAATCCTTAATAATAAAGCCCGAAGGACCCTCCTCTTCGGATCTGGATTTCTGCATCTGCCAAGCTTTTTTAAACGGATGTTCTTGTTCTTGTTCAAATAGTTTTGGTCTTTCTGGAATTAAATATTCTGGATCTTCTTCGCTAGCTTGACTCTGAAATCAATAATTCCTAATTATTATCATCGAAATTATTAGTTGAACCATTGTTTGGCTTATACTTGCTCAATAATATGTAATCAACATGAAAATCGTCTTAAAATTATAATTCGTATAAATAGACGACAAAATTTCAATGTTTTTGAAAAGTCTGAGAAAACAATACAAAACCTATTTCTATTTATAATAATGTCAATTATTAGAATAATCTCAATGTTTTATCATATTTGCAGTTACAAAAATATTTTTAACTTGTATATTATAAGTAGAGTAATCAATAAATTATGATATTGTGTATAGGTAAGTAGGGTATAAAATTCTGGTTATATAATTAACATTTTTTTTCCGTGCAATAATTAAATAAATGTAAAAATATATATCACGTAAATATATACGTGTGTGTGTGTGTGTGTGTGTGTGTGTGTGTGCGCGCGTGCGTGCGTGCGTGCGTGCGTGCGTGTGTGTTATTATTTATTTTTTTTATATTTAACAATCTAAGCGACTATTTCGATATAATATCACAGATATTAATTAATAATTATTATAAGTATTATTAAGGCTTAATTATTTCAATTAGAATATCGTGAATGTTAGAAAATTAAAAATATTTTTTATTTGCAAATCTAATATTCTATTATTACAGGTTGTAATCCAGTAATATTATTATAATTACAAACTTGAACGAGAAAAAAATATACGAGTATGAATAATTTTGTTAATTTATTCTACCTTAATTATCGATTCTCTTTTAATTAATCCAGAATTAGACTTAACGTCCACGTTACTCCAATTATTATCCTTAGATAGCTCATCATCCAATGATATTCTGCTAAGATCCTGCACGGTTATTCTTTTACTATTTTTGTTTAACATAAATTCGTTCGTTATTTCATCTCCCGCATCAAATGACATAGCACGACGTTCAGTTTGAATATTCTGCCGTATCTCTTCCTCGTCGTTTCCCTCGTCTTCCTCAAATTCTTCTCGCAACGGTGGTCCTTGTTCTCTATATTCTCGTCTTTGCTGCAAGTACGTTTCTTCATCTAATTCATCGTCAGATTCCTGAGATGAACCAAACTGCATCTTCGACACAGTCCAAAGTTCCATATTTCCGGGCCTGATTGGCTCTTTCAACAGGGCCATTTTACCTTCGGCCGAAGATCGACGTTTTAACGAATCCCATTCGTTGTTAATCTCTTCTTTAACTACAGGTGGCGGTGGTAAGCGTTCGGTTTCTTGACTTTGTACGCGATCCTGTGGATACCGATTTCTTCTAAATCGTAAATCATTCTCCCAGTCGTCGTCGTCGCTAATTCGAAGTTCGGCGGATGAACGACGATTAAAACTGTTGCTATTCCTTCGACTACCGAGGACGTCTATATCGCTTTCAGACAAAGAAAATTGTTGATCGAAAAATCTTGACATAGTAGATCGCGAAGACCGAGAATTGGCATATTCATCCTCTTTACTAATAGTAATTATTGGCTTATTATTATAATCTCTGGAATAATAAAGTTTATAACGTATCAATACCATTATAGCATATTAATACCATTTATAATGAATATGATATAGCAAGTATAATATTTTTATAGAAATGTAAAATGTAATTTCATCGTGGCCAAAATAATGCAAACGATTGTTATGTTAGTCGCTTAATATTTCTTCAGTGAACACAGTGACATTACGTTAATTAAACTGAATTTTGTATTCTTTTTATGCATCATATGAAATTAAATTAAGAGGTGAAAATATTATTCGTATATATATATATATATATATATATATATATATATATATACATATATATCAAAAAATTCAAAAGATTTTTTGCACACATGCTTATAACTACATCAATGCAAACCTTTCTCTCGATGACGATCTGAATTGTGAACGCGTATCTCGCATGGGCGATCTCGTATAATTACTAGAATAATGTCGATCCTGTAAATATAAGTAATTATCGGATGATAAATCGTCATCCAATGCAAGATTATTCGTATCATAATCATTTCTATTCGCTCTCCCATTATCCATGGAATGTTCCTCGGATCTTGAAATGCGTCTGTCCATTCGATCTCTATCCCATTCATCGTAAGCTTCAGATCTAATCATTGTTTGACGTCTAATAGTTGATCTCTTAATTGGCGAAGTATTATATGATTCGTTGGCATTGTCCTCCGCAAAATCTCGAGGCTCTGAATTTGCAATTTTCGTAAAAGTTCCTCGATTCCAATTCCAATTTCCAGTGATAGATTCTTCTTCATTTTCCAAGTGATTCTTTTCTAAACTCTTCTTTACATCGTCATTGTCTTCCAAAGGATTGCATTCCTTAGATTTTCCATTTTCTGTGGGCAAAGATTCAGTGATCTCCAAAATAATCTTTTTTACCTCTTGCATAGGAATGTCGAATAACAGTGTTAATACTGTCGACACTATCGTGATGCTTAACACTTCATAGAAATCAATCTGAAAGCAGATTTCAGCAACATTACTCTTAAGCTATATCCTTAAAAGATTGATAAGAAAATTGTAATTGAAGAATTGATGAAGAATTGATGAAGAATTGTGAAAAAACTAATATCTAATATAAGAATAAATGAAAAATAGAAATAATAAATATGTTTGCAGGTAAATATGTTACAGGTAACATTAAAATATCATATAGATTATTGAATTATATGCAACATAATTTTAAAGATTCTGTTAAGCGAATATATATAGTGAAATAAAAAAAAGAAAAAAAGACAAATAAGAAATTATCATCGAATTAAAGCAGCTGTTTAACGTACAATTTTATAGGGTTGAAATTCTGATGAGTAACGTGTAGTCCCGATATTATAGAAGAACACAATATATTGCGAAAGATAAATAGCGTACGATAATCTGCTAAATACCATCATCCAATGGCTTGATAATACTTTATTAATAACACCTGAAACATATCAATAAATAAATGATAATAGTTAATACAAATATACAACAAAAAAAAAAAAAAAAAAAAAAAAAAAAAAAAAATTTAACATGTATACATGCACTACGAATATAATAGATAATTCAAGGCTTTGAAATAATATTATAATTAATTATATACCGTTAAAGCAAATCGATTGCTGTATTCTGTTAAAAAGTGAGAACATTGTACCGAGACTATAAATTAAATTTATTATCACTTTTAATCGAGAAATTTATTACGTAAAATGCTAAAAAAAATCTTTTCGATAAACTCGTCGAGCAATACGTTTAAATATATTATTGAGATTAAATAAAAAAAATCACCATCACATAAATCAAACATAACATTACCGTTGAAAGAAAAATTATAATTAATAAAAAGTTATACCGCCATTGTTTGTAAAACATGCAAAAATGGTCCAGCTCAATGCGAGTGCTGTGAAGATGGGACTTAACACAGCATACTGTGTTGCTTTATCAACATTATATGTATAATCTGCTCTCGCAAGTTGCCAAGGAGAAAACATTGACCATAAACCTAGAACTAAAGCAACTAACCAACCTAGTATGATAAAAACCTATAAAAAAAAAAAAAAAAAAAAAAAAAAAAAAAAAAAAAAAAAAAAAAAAAAAAAAAAAAAAAAAAAAAAAAAAAAAGTAAAAAAAAAAAGAAAAAGAGAAAGTAACAAAAAAAGGTAAAAAATTTTTTACATAAAGTAGGGGAAAAAAAATTGAAAGTAATTAATAAATACCTTGTGTATAAATACAGATTTTCCTGTATAATGTAAAATAACACCAAGGCAAATACCGATAAGATAAGGTGTTGCTCGATGTAAAGGTAACAAATATGTCATGTTAGCAGTTTTATATATCTGCTTCAAACTAAAAATTATAATTCAAAATGGAGACTTATGTGTGAGTTATAATAAATGAATTACTCACGTCATTCCGTGAAAAATAACCAGGGATAAATTATTATTGGACGTTGCAAAATATCTCAACGTCGCCGAGACTTGAAGTAAGAGAAAAACAACGATAACTCCGACGATCGGTTTTACTTGCAAGAAGAATACAATTGCCGGTGCGAGCAAACTTAACTGCATATCTAATGCCAATTGATGTGTATGAGCAGCACACTGTAAATTATTATTATTATTATTATTATTATTATTATTATTGCATAGTATCGAGTAAAAAAAAGCAAATAAAATAGAATTAAAATCGCATGTAATATAATTAATTGTATGTAACTTAAATGATGTAACATGTAAATAAAAGTATTATGGCCTTACATATCAATGGCTTGATAATTCTGAAATAATTGACTATCCACGTTAAAAATAAAAGAAATAAAGACATTAACTAAATCAATAAATAATAAGAAATTGAAACTCTACGATAATAAGATATACGAGGTGATTTTTAAACCTTGACGTACCATTTCTTCAAACGGGAAGAAATTCTGTACATGAAGCAGATTGATCCATGCATTCTCCTTGCACATATCCGCGTTTGCTTTAACTGCCGTATTCCATTGTGGCCCAGATCCAGTATGTTCCATAACAAAAGCATACCAAAATATAACGGCCAGCAGCGTGGGTGTTAGCCTAACGGACGAGAAAGACTCGAAACATTAGGGGGAGGTTGGATTAAAAAGTAAAAGGCCGAATCCTACCTTATAAACCTCACGATGAAGCGACAAAACCAGCGTATTTCGCCACGATTTGTCAATTCCGTTGACATATTATAGGCTGTTATGAGGCCACTCAATAATAGAAAGGAATCCGTGTGGAATATCGATGCTCGGAGTGCCGAACTTAGAGGACTATTCGCGACCTTAACAACAATGTATAAATTCATTAATTCTGATTGTTATTTAGCTGTGATGATTATTTCAACATCAAAACAATTTGTTTCAATAATATCTTAAATCTTTTGAAATTGTTTTTAATCGTGTAGAAAAAGCACGTAATAATTATCTGTAAATGTATATAATTCATCCAATCTTGTGTGTCACAAAGTGAAATTTATATATACATTAAGATTATTATTTTCTGCAAAAGAATTCGCAATTCAAAAATATTCGAACCTCAAATGTTGTGGGGTATTTTTTTTTTTGTTTTTTTTTTGTTTTTTTTGTTTTTTGTTTTTTTTTCTATAAAAGTGTCATGTACTTTGAAGAAATAATAATTATTCGTAATAATATGTTTTCTATTTTCAAAGACTTTTCATACAATTCATCTCACTTTGATATCGTTATTTGTAAAAAAAAATCAAGACTACAACAAAGTTTCCATTCCACCGTTTCACGTAATAATACGACAATATAGTTTAATTGTCCATTTCATTGTTGGTCATCGACGGTTTTTTTTTTTTTTTTTTTTTTTTTTGAACGAAACGTATATATGTGAAAAACATAATATACACATATTCGGAAAACTTATCTCCGCTAAAGAAATATGAATATAAAAAGCTTAGTTATACCTCGGTAAGCGTTACACGATTAGCGTAAGGCATTCTCAAAGTAGTAATTAGCTTCTGTAATATGTATAAAGCCATTGTCAATAATGCTTTTATGCCGTGTACGCAACCAATACTTGATGAAGTCGATTCTTTATTTCCAAACAATACTCTAATAGTCCTCTTTAAGGAGAAAGCCATAATTATCCGCTCGGAATAATTTCCTATTACGTAAAATTATAACAAAATTTGAATTAATTACATAATACAGATTCTTCGATCGTCATAGATTTATCTTAAGTGTACAGAATGTCTTCATAATTTATCTTTGGCAATAATCAAAGAATTTTATATATCAAAACAATAGAGCAAAAAGTAAAATTTACCACGCTACCTTTTTCCTGGCTTATTGCGAAATAATCTCTTACAGTGGCAACAATCACCAAACAGATGAATATTGCATAAAAATATCTGCACAAAGAATGAAATTTCCAAAATTACCTTCACATATATATTTGCCATTAAAGTTACGCTTCATTACTTACGAAAGCAATATTATTTATTAATATACTCACAGTACACCAATCGTCTCTTTTGAGTAGCTTTGTGAATTCTGTTTAACATAACACATTTCGTTATCAATATTCACCATAAATTTAATACCAATGGTCATATTATATCGACCTAATGCATCTTCAATGGATCTACGTGCATCTGTAGCGGAACAGGCGGCAGGGAGACATATCCCCCAATTTATGGTTGTGAACTTTGGTAAAAAATGTCCTGGCTGAAAAGATTTTAATAATATTAATTAAGCAGGCGAGAGCAAAAAGATTCGATATACAATGCTTATCGGTCGACTTCCAAATTAACTTCCAAATCAATGACATAAAACAATTTAATTTAATATATATCGTTATTTACTATGATTTTACAATGCCATATATATCGGCAAAGAAATCGACATTATTTCTTAAATTCTCATACATTGTACTATTATATATGTTTTATAATTTCCTACGCGCGCGCGATAAACTTCTTTTTAACGTGACAAGTGCATATAGCAATATTACAGATTCAAAACAAACAGTTCACGGGGTTAAATTCAGATTTATTATTTTAATAAAACACAAATTATTATACTTTCATACGGACCCTTTCAAAGTATTTTATTTATCTAATTTTTTTTTTTTTTTTAATTTTTGTTTTTTTAATTCTTTTTAACGAATAATGACACGATACCTCTTGCTACCTTGATTCATTAAAGTCAGAAATTCTAAAAATCATGCGATAAAAAATGGAAAAATGAATGATGAATTTAAATGTCTTGACTACTGAATGATGACTTTTCACGAAGTCGAGAACCTGTTACAACAAAAAGTGAAACAATTAATTTTTATTTCGTAAGCTCGTTCACAAATGGCTTTCGGCACAAATAAATTATTAGCCTTTAAATATTCATAAATTGACTCGCTCTTTTAAAGATCAGATACCGTATCGCTAAAACCTAGTTAATTGTTGTAGAATGTAAGAACGGACTCATTTACTTCAACTCTATGGCGTTTCTAGAAACTTTCCTTTCTAATAAAGTAATGGCTACACTGAAACTTTTAGACGATCCATTTTTTTCTTCTTTTCTTTTTCTTTCGTTTTTTTTTTCCTTTTCTTTGTGATAAAATATGTTCCGCACTTTTTATATTCAACAACAACAACGTAGGAATTTTCTCTTATACATAAGTCATAATTTATATATATATATATATTTATGTCACTTCGTCCAGAACACTTTGTCGATTAATTGAACGGCGCCATTGACTCTGTTGCTTTTATTCGTTATTTTGCTTTGTGTAATTCGTCGTCCATTGGTTTGTCAAGATGTTCTACATATTATATTGTGATACGATATGATAGCAACAATATCCATCGATATCTAATAATCCTTTGAAAGTTTTGATGTCTCGGTCGCTGATATATTTAGAATACTTATAGACTTACATACTTAAGAGGCTTAGAGAATGCGCGAGCTCCAAGATACCAACATAATGGCCTTCGAACCTCAGATATTTGACCTGATCCAAAGAAATCTTTTTGCATACGCTTATTTTACATATAAGAAACCTTTTAAAAAAATATGGAAGAAGTTTTTTTCCTTTTTTCTTTTTCTTTTTAATCCATCGAAAGAAAAAAAAAAAAAAAAAAGTTATAAGACCTTCTAAAATCTATCAAAATTTAAACGTAATTTTACTCTTTTTACCTTTTAGAATAAACGAGTAAAACTAACAATATAGTAAATACATTTTATTCGACTATTTTGCAAATATTCGGCGGCACTGCTGTTAATTATAATAATTTCACGTACTTACGTCGTGCATGTTTCCTCTTAATAAACCTCGACTCTGCATTAGATAAACTGGCAATTTTAAACCTAAATGCGTTGCGTATATATCCATACTGGCTAAACAGTATTTGCCCTGTACTTTAACGGTTTTTTCGTCAACTTTGACGTGTGCCAGGATTCCGAGACACTGGTCGAAATCACCAAATTGATTGACATTGCCTCGTAATAAACCCGCCGGTATTTTTGCGCTAGAGTCCAGCACTATTAAGGTAAATGAAAATTTTATGTAAGAGCATTAGGACTTGTTGATGAGAAAAGCGATAAGGGATTACTGATTTATAATAAGATAATTTACAATGCTCATAAGAAATGTAAAATAACGATAGACTATAAGAATTTTAAATACTTTTGTCTTGATCTGTTTTTCTGTTTCCTCCTCCTCCCCCCCCCCCCATCTCCTTTTTAAACTGCTTATTAACACAAAATGGCTATATATCTCACAAAGATAGAATATACTGGCATTTTTGTAGACAAAAATTTTAATTGTATTTAAAAATTCTCAAGAAATTAAAGGAATATATGTATCTAAAATACGACCAAATTAAGTAAATAGAGGAGTACATATGTGCGCGTACGGGCGTGTAAGTGGGCGTTTAGGTGTAGGCGTTGGTGTTGGCGCGTAGGGAGTGTGTGGGTGGGTGGGTGTAAAATTTCATAGTAAATTGCTAAAAACAAACCATTGATATTACATATATGCATATTACAATTCGTAAACACATTTTATCTTTAAAACAAAAATATTAAAAACTTAATGATAGTATTTACTTTGAAAAGCCCACATTTTGTAACCTCGCAGCTGCCTGAGAAAGATTTTTCCATGCCGCTGACACTCTACATTTTCCATGGCTGTGAAATTCGGCATAAAATTCGGCACATTGAGAATCATGTCGTTGAGTTCGGTTAAACTGGGAATATCTTTGATTATTTTCTGTGATTTTGACTTGGTCGTAGCACTCGCTAAATAAATATAGGTAAATGCGATTAAATTATTAATACAAATGAAATAGAAATGAAATTAATTATTGAACTCACTCTCGTCGCTTATAGTTTTTGTAATCGTTGCAGACTTTATATCATTGGCCTTTTCTTTGTTTGATAATCTTAATTTTTCTCCCTTGTTTTGCAATTTCAATGCTACTCGTTCATTATTATCGCCACTATTGTCATTTTCTTTTCCATTATTATCTCCATCTAAAGTAATTATTTTCACATTCTCTTGATCTTCTCGTATATTTTTTTCATTCTCTTTATCTATCATTTTTATACTCTCTAACGGATCCTTCATTTTTTTAGCATTCTTTTCTTCCATTTCTAATCGTATTATTTCGTTTTCCTTTAATTTCTTGCGACGTTTATCATCGTCTTCTTCTTCTTCCTCCTCTTCTTCTTCTAATTTCTGTTTCTTCTCATCCTTTAATTTTCGTTCTTTTTCTTCTTTTAATTTTTTTCCCCTTTCCATTTGTAATCGTTTGTGTTCTTTTTCTTTCATAATTTTTATTTCTTCTTCCTTTTTTCGTCGCTCCTGTTCTTGCTTTTCTATATATGCGGCTTCCTCTTTCCGTCGCTGTTGTTCTTGTTTCTTAAATTTACGCTCAAGTTCCTCTTTCAGTCGTCGTTCGTTCTCTTCTTTAAATTTACGTTCAGCTTCCTCTTGCAATCGCCGTTCTATTTCCTCTTGTTTTCTACGCTCCTCTTCTTCCTCTCTTTTTCGACGCTCCTCCTCTTCCTCTCTTTTTCTACGCTCCTCCTCTTCCTCTCTTTTTCGACGCTCCTCTTCTTCCTCTCTTCTTCTACGCTCCTCTTCTTCCTCTCTTTTCCGATACTTTTCTTCTTTCTCTCTTATTCGTCGCTCCTCCTCGTCCTCTCTTTTCCGTCGTTCCTGTTCTTCCTCTCTTTTTCGACGCTCCATTTCTTCCCTTTCCTGTTGTATCTTATTCTTTTGTTCCTTTATTCGTCGAGCTTCTTCCTCTTTCTCCACCTCACTTTCATTTCTTTTTAATAATTCCTCCTCTCTTCTTCCCTTTACTTCATCTATTACTTTCCGTGCCCCTTCTTCATATTTTTTTTCTGCTTCCGTTTTCTCTTCCTCGTCTATATTCAATTTGTCTTCCTTCTTTTGTTTTAAACTTACTTCATCAGTTTTCACTTCACTTTCTATTATCATATCATCTTCATCTTCAACTTCGATCAGTATTATTTCATCATAATTTTTATCTTCTTCATCATCATCTTCTTCCTCCTCATCTGCTACTACTACTACACTTGAAGGATTTGTGTTTTCAGCATCAGTACTAACCGTTTGCTCAATGGTGTCCTCAATTTTGTTTAACTTAGACCAAGGCCGAGAAGAAGATATCTTATAATTTTTTTTTACTGATTGATAATTTTCTTCCTCGTATCCATCGTCAAGTAATTGCTGTTTGCTCTTCACAAAACTCCCTCGCATGCTAACTGTTTCAAATCCACGTTTTGCACGCATAGACGCCAGAGTTGACCACGAAGATGAACCAGTAGAAGAAGAAGAAGAAGAAGAAGAATCAGCAGGAGAAGAGGCAGGAGAGGAAGAGGAAGGAGAAGGAGTCGATGAACTAGAAGAAATTATATCCGATATGGAAGCACATCGTCCAGTAGTTGACTGACATACGTCAGAACTCACGGATATAGTATCTCGGATGCGAAAAGCACAACCGGTATAAATTAGGCCGGTTCCCAATACCAATATCACCGGTATCAACACCAAACATTTACCCGATCGGGGCGACGCCATCGCTTATAAAATTCACATCTGTGCTCTGACACTCCGATTCTAAAATTTCCAAAAGCTTTAATACTGCAATTCTATTTCCGATAAATAATAATCTAAATTTTTATAATATTTTATGTTTAATCATTTCTTTATTCAATAGCTAATATTTAATTTACAACGAAAATATTTATGATTTATAGCAAAGCTATTAATATTGTTAGGTATAAAAAAATAATAGAAAATCTAGAAATCTATATTTTATCATTTCAATTTTTAAACATTTATTCTTTTATATATATATATATATATATATATATATATTTATTTATTTATTTATTTATTTATTTACAAAAGAATTGCACTTTTTTACACTTTCATTTGAAATAAATTATATACCATAACAAATATCTTATGGTTTAAAATTTTTTTACAATTACACTAAAGTTTTCGTATGATCCATATAAATTGGGCATCATGACTTTTTCTGTCGATGATTCACGACTCAATACTGCTTTGTACAATTTTTCGACACTACAAACTCTTAGATTTGTTATTAATACACGTTTTATTTTTACATCAAAGTGACAGCTTTACATTTCTTAAATGAATAAAAGTTTTTTAATTTAATCATTTGATCTTTATTAACAAAATCTGATAATTGTCTGAACATAAACACACACATACGCGAGATGTTCTCGATGCGTTCGATCGAATATAACTATTTTTCTGTTACTACTCGCACTGCGTTTGCGATCGGGAGAAAGAGAGAGAACGCGGGATAGTAAGAAAGAATGGAAGAGAGTGGGAGAGAGATAAATAATCATAGACAGAAATAGGCCGATACATATGTAAAAAACAAAGTAATGACTGTCGAAAATAGAAAAAGATTATGAACCCAAATGAACAACGGGAATTAAGCTATTTACTTTAGTGCACTCCCTCTCTCTCTCTCTCTCTATATATATATATATATATATATATATATATATATATATATATCTCCCTTCCGATCGAGAAAAATAGTCAAACACGTTTAGCGAAGAAAAAGGCGAAGAATGGAACGCCTAATGAAGACTATGCGAATGAGAAAGACGGAGATAAGAGTAGTTGCACGGCACGCAAAATTGGAGCACATGGCAACCTCCCAATAGACTGTCCGGAGAGCCCTCGAGGGGAAGTTTTATTTAGCATCACAACTCTGCAGCGACGACTCTCCATCGCAACCGTCGACGCGCCATCGCCGTAACTCTGAAAATCGTAAAAGCAACCGACTACCATGACCACGTATCTTACGTAATGTACATACTAGCATAATCTGAAGCTTGAGTCTTTTGTCGCTGAGGGGCCTGCCCTACCTCCGAAGTGACCTTCCTGCCGTCATCACGAATCCACTAACTAAATGGTTTTTTAGGGAGACAATGGCGAGCGTATCGGTCTCGCGCTTCTTCCTTTCATTCTTGTTGCGCTCCTTATGAAAATTGTCGTTTCAACAAACTTTAAGAGTATCGATATAGTATCGATCAAACGGTTACCACAACTTCTGGGAAATCTAGGGTATTAAAACATCACAATATCGTCATTATCATTCAATAAGCAATTTAAACCGAAATAAAATAGTTCTCAATCTTATGTAAGGGAGCATGTTAATGCACGTAATTAATAGATAAGATTTTACAATTTTTTCACGCGTGCAAAAAGTAAAAGTGTCGATAATCTTTAAAATGTCAGATAACATGAAATCCGTAGTATTTGTGTTTGCCGATAACTTTCTTATATCACCTTAATAAATTGAGTTAAAATATTTTAATTGAATAATATTTAAAACTTATGTCATGGCTATGTTATTAAATATTTTGCTCAATTGTAATGATAAAATTTCACATACAATCGAAGCTCTACATCGGATACATTTCTTATAAAATATAATTTTGTCTGCCTATTATAAGTTATTCGAATACGATAATAACAATCGCATCGATCAGTTTCATTATTACTTATAACATTATTTATTTATCATGAAATCTAAATCTCGCGCTATTTTTTAACTGTAAATAAAAAAAAACAACAACAACAACAATATAAAAGAAAAAGCTTATACTATGAATAAATTGAAATATAAAATACGTTAGACAATAATCTCAATACTCCTATATTTTATTCTTTGATAAATGTTTTTAAATAATAATATCAATTTGTTTAGATTAAAATGAAAGTAAGCAACGGTATGTTAAACAAGATAAACGTAATCATACATTAAATATTCTTATCGTTCAGTAATTGTCATGTTATTGTTGCTAGATGAAAGTGCGGATGTTGAACTATTGTTAACTTTGCTTTACAGTGAATATGTTTATTCGAAGTTATATTAAACTCTGCTTACACGTTCAGTGGAATTTAAGTAGTAATAATTTTAAATATAATAAGACCGAATGATAAAAATAACATTATTTCATTAAGATTTATTTAACTAGAACCCGCACTAAATATTACAATTATTCTTATGTTTTCAATTCTTATGTTAATTAACACGTTGATAAAGTTAAAACATTTTCCTACGCACAAAAGGTATCGGACAAAAAATATTGTTCCTGATAATGATTACATTGATCCGTTAAAATGAAAATTTTATATCACTTTAGATTTTCAATACTTTTAACTATATAAATTTTAACCTTGAGATTTATATTTATATAATTAAGAAAGATCCCAAAGTATACATTTTTTTAGAAAAGTGGATAATCAAAATCTACTCGTCTATTGTTGAACACTCATTTTTATAGGTAAAAAAAAAAATTACGTTGTACTTAAGGAAACGTGTTTTTATAAAATAATTTAAATAATTTAAATATAAGCTGTAATATGGCTACAATAAACAGTTTTAAATTACCTAAGAATAGTACTCAAAACATGAAGATAAATTTAGAGTCTTAAATAAGAATTGTGTCAGTGATTACACAGACTTACCAAATTTTACATTTAACAAAAATGTAAATAACTATTAAATATGTCATTGTTTTTTAATATTTCAACATAAACAAAGTATTAAGGAAAATCATACTTTATTAAATTTTTCTAGTATGTAAAAAATTTGCAATAAAGTCAATATATTAAAAGACATCATCTACAACTACGATAAACTTTATATTCGTATATAAAATCTTTTTCGAAATGATGACAATCAAAAATTTAATATTTTACTATCATAGTATCGTCACTGTAACCTAAATACACTTGATCTGTGTTGATTGTGTTTGAAAAAAAAAAAAAAAAAAAAATGTCTATGCTAAGAATGTACTAGCTTTATTTTAAATTAAATCTCATTTGATTAAAAATCTAGCTATATGAATGCTCTGAATTTGAGTCTGACGTTGAAAGTTGATAAATTGGAAGTAGATAAATTTTGAAATTCTATAAATATAATAATAAAAGTATTACAAATAGTTTTGTGTTAATCTTTATTAATAATTTATTTATTGTTACAAAATTTTATATAATTTACATAAAAATAAAATATATATATATATTTATTTATATAAAAATAATAATTTAATTTAAAATACCTGATAGTGTAAAAGTTTCCAACAATTATTATTATTTATGTAAATATAAATCAATTATATATGGTAATAGATCATGATAGTTTATTTAAAAGATCTTTTTAATTGATATTAGACAAGATAGTTTATACTGGAAAATATTTCTATTTTGTTAGCGTGTATATATATATATATATATATATATATATATATATATATATCAGTTTATATTATAAAGTATAGAATATAATTTCATTCGATAATAAAATTTAAATACAAGTAAATTCTATTGATAAATTCACAAAAATTTCTTAACATTTCCCTAATATACCGTTAATGTTTATCAAAGGAAATATAAATATAAATTAAAAGTAATATTTTTATAAATAATAATTGATGATAATAATTGATAATTACATAGAAAAGAAAAGGTACATCAACAGTTTTATTTAATGTTGGACTAGTTAATATCAAATATATACAAATAACTACAAATAAGATAAAAAATTTCTCAAAATTTTTTAAAATTTTTTCTCAGAATTTTCAACATCAATCGATCTAAGATTATCCTGTAATTGGGCTTGAGATTCTCTTTTCCTTCTGAAAAGCATCCTTTCCAAAATTATAGTAGGCGACTCAAATAGTAAACAAATAAAAATTGATGCTAAAAAAGACATCGATAAATTTCCAAAGAAATTGTTCCACTGTAAATATCAAAATTGAAAAAACATAAGTTGAAACAATAATGACTACACATAAAGCATTATATTCAAATACTTACTAATCCATAGTGTGAGAAATATACAGAAGTTCGGGCGAAAGCATTTTCTGCATTTTGGATAACTGCGTGTATAAGATACATACAGTAAGATAATCTGCTCAATGGTATAAAAACCTTCCAAGATAAAATCGTTTTTATGATACCTATAATAATAAAACAATAAATTATATTGATAGGCAATTTGTAATATTTATATTACCTATAAATATATTAACTCAATAAATATTATAACATATTTGTAACATGATTATTCTTAACGTAACTATCCTTACTTTCTGTGAAGTATACAAACATTTAATAGATTTCTCATAAATAACAGGATGTATTTATTATAATTATATTATTTTATTATTAATATCAATCGCATAAAATTATATTTCAATAATAATATAATAACAAAAGATATATATATAACAAATATAATCACATGTAATAACAAAACAACGAATAATATTAATAAAGAAATTGGAATTTTTAGAACTTAAAATGATAGTAATTTTCTATTTGTATATAAATTGATTGCGTATTGTAGATAATCAAAACAAATATTGAACTTACAAGTTTTCTAAAGATTAGATTCTTAAGTGTCTAAATGATCCATAGAACATATTCATGACATAAAACTTAAAGCTTCTGAATGTACATTATCTTTATAGTTCGATTAAGCTTATAACAAATTTTAAACCAAATAGTTTTACACAATATTAATCTTTTCAATTTATGATATATATTATTTGCATGTTCTATTACATAATAAATAATAAATAAATACATCCTTCGTTATTGTATTTTTATATGATGAATATATAATATCGTTAAATTAATAGTTTAAGACAAATAACTTTTTAGCAAGCAAAAAAAAAAGGTATTCTTAAATGCAGTCGAATACATTTGAAATTTTTAATTTAGCGTATTTGATGATCTAACGATTTCATTTTACAAACTTTATATATTTACTTTTCCGTTCAGACAATAAATAAAACACTTTATATTTTATGTAATGTATATAGGTGCTACTGTAATAATAAAATTTAGAAAAGATTTGAAGCAAAATTTAATGCTATCCTTTATAATATTCACACACGTATATATATATGTTTATATATAGGCATTATATTCACAATGATAATATTAAATTTATACAATAACATTATCTAAAGATAAAAATGATATTGCACATTATTATTAGCTTACGTTTCTGATAAAATGTTATCAATACTATCGTTTAATGATTTTAAAATATTAATCTTTTTTGAATTTTTTTAAAAATTAAATTTAATATCTATAATAAAATGGAAGATAAATCATCCTATGATAAAACTAAATAAGTAAATATATATTGAACTTTAAACAACTATCTGTGTATTGAATAACTATTATTAAAAAAAGGAATACGAGCAATTTAATGCCTAAATATATAAGTACTAAATTAACTTGATTAAATATATGTATAATGACGATAAAAATATATAATTCCTATATTAAATTATTCTATTTAATCTAATGCAATACTGAATATTCCTTTTTTTCTACAAATAATATTTATTATATATATATATATATATATATATATATATGATTATTATATAAAATATTTTAAAAATTTCAACATATGGTCTAATAGTCAATGAATAAAATATTTTTAACCTAATGCTTATTTATACATCGAAATATAATTTACAATTTCCCCCTTAAAATTATTATCAACTTATTAACATAAGATATACATACTTGACATAATGAAAATTATTTGCTTAAATTATGTCTACCATAATGCGATGTTTAAAGCAGTTAATTACCAACCTGCATTGTTATAAGTACTAGCATAAATAAGCCAACAAATGGCAAACCCCCATAAGGGCCTTGAAACGGTAGAAAATATTGTTTCCAGAACAACGTCGTACTCATAATCTTCTGCGACGAAATATCTTGTACCAAATATGCATATAGCAAAGATCCCCGTTGTGAAAAACCATCCGATCCAAGCAAATGACTGTAAGAATAAAATTTTATTTGTCGATAAATAAAGCCAAATGTTTTTTTTTTTTTTTTTTTTTTTTTTTTTTTTTTTTTATTGTAAACTTGAATTTACACATGCAATATTAATGTATTTATTATTAAAATTATAATGTAATTGTTCCACTTGTCTACTGTTAAACGGAATTTTATTCATCATCATAAAAGTATATAATTCTTGGTCTAATGCTTGAATTTATATTGTAAAATCAGTTGATAATATATCCACTTTCTGGGCTATTAATGTAGTTTAGTAATTTTGATTCAATGTGATAATTGAAGTTTTTAAAATTCATTACCCAGCCATTAAGATGTATAAATTTTCCATAAATATTATGACATCTTTTTTAAGACAACTATTTTATATATATATATATATATATATATATATATATTATATCAAATATATTTGTTTACAAACACCACAGATAGACATTGACAAATCTCATTATTAAATGGTAGTAAGCTTCTATATTTACACTATAATCATCACTATTATACTGTTCATAAAACATGTAATATACTTAAGAATTTATTGCATATGAGCTATTATTAATTTGTATTCTGATAAAAATTGCATCTTTAATTGAAAGAAATTCCTTTATGTAAAGTACATCCGTCGCCATATAAATAATACTAAATAATTAAGCTTCCATAAGTAATATTTTTCTTAGTTAAATGCTAATAATATTAATACCTTATTCAGTCTTCGATGTTTATTAACTATTTCATATCCAAATAAAATACCAATAAGCCACGGTCCTCCTCGAGTATATGGTTTATTATAAACATCAGAGAACATTTTCGCCGTAAGTTCCGGACTGAAAATTAATATTTATTCATTAATAATTAAGTTAACGTTGGGTAAAATGAAAAATTCAAATTCTAAACCAAATTTCAAACATACTCTGACAGCTTAACAGACGCCATTGGATATCTATTGATTGCGATAATCGCTGCAGTTACAGCTAATGAAATAATTAACAACAAACCAGTAATTGCCAAACCAATTTTCGGTTTTTTATAAAGAGGATAGAGAATGATCGGTGATATAATAAATAATTGCATATCTACAGCTACATACCATAAGTGTTGCAAGCACTAAAGAAAAATACAATAATTAACTACGTAATCTAAAAGATCGCCCATCATGTAGAATATTTTATTATATTAAAAAAAAAAAATAAACGATAATTGTCTCATATAATAATATATATGTGTTAACATAAAAACAATAAGCATTTTTTTGGTATACTGAGATAATTTTTGGGTGAAGAAAATATAAATATTAAAGCTTAATATTATGTATTAAGTATAAAATAATATAATATATATTGTATTACAGAAACTTTTCAATTTCTTTCAAATTTTAAGTAGTAAAAATGTGTTTTCATGCATGTGAACAAAATGCAATATAATACTTTCAAAGAAAAAAATATATAAACTGATTGGAAAAAAACTTACTTCTTGATGAGAACCCATAAGGTTTTGTATATAAAACAAAAAGTACCACCAATTTTTACGACATACTGATCCGCTTGCAATTTGCCAGTGTGGTCCAGAAGCTAATTTTGGTACGAAAATTGTTGCAATAACAAGAGTTGCAATTATGGCCGGTGTTAGCCTAAAGTTTCATCAAATCATTTTAATATATTTTCATATTTAATTATTTTATCTCTATTTACTAATTACCTAAGATATCTATGTAAATAATACATCGGGATGTTGAATGTCTTTTGTTTTCGAATTTGTTTTAAAAACATATATGTCATTAATAATCCACTTAAAGCGAAAAATGTATCCACGGCGAATGGAGCTGTATATACATATATATATTCCCATGTTATTAGTAGCTGTAAATATTGAAAAAAAAGATAAAGAAAAGAAAAAAAGTAACGTTAATGACTCCTAATGTAAAAGTTATAAAGTTTTTTATATTCATATTTTTAAATAAACTTTAATAGTAAAAAATAAATCATAATCGCCAACAAATAACAAAAAAATTTTTTTTTTTTTAAGTATAACAAGAAATTTGATGATATGTGTTCTATAAACTAAAAATAAATTTTAAATATAAATCTCAACGGTTTTTCATACTATTTAATTTATAAAGTTAGGTTGATATTTATATCACGAATAAAATATAAATATGAAAATATAAAATTTTAAATATTTCATAAATAATTAAACTGTGTAACTTACCGACAGTTAGATTGTTAAAATAAAATTGTGTATGAATTTTATTAAAAAATGCATTATAATGTATGCAAATAAAATGTTGAATATGTGATATTTTAATTTTTATAAAAATAAATAACACAGTAGGAAAAAAAGAAAAGTAGATTTTTATATTTATACCCATTTGTGATTAAAATATATATAATTTTTTATGGCATTCAACCATTCGGGTATAATTAAAAATATTTAAAGTTTTTATAAATATCGAAAAATTTTATAATAGAGTATAACGGTGCACTTTTATTTATAAATTTTGCACATTCACATTATTTAGATAAAAAATAATTTAAAGATTGGTAAAATATCTTTAAAATATATTTAAAAATTTTTAACTATCAAAGTTTAAATACTTATGGATATGTCAGCTTAATTGCAATTTAATTTATAAAATAATATTGTAAATTTCAAACTGGTCTTAATGGACAAAATCTGAAATTATTACTTACTTTCGAAACATCGATCATATTTACGACCGCGGTACCAGTATTCGTTAAAAATGTGTGTCCAATTATTACCCAAGCCATGCTAAGAAAGCGTATACCATATATAATTGATAAATTGCCTTCCTTGATATTAGTACTGAAGATTCCATGAATACTCCTTCGCAAGGAAAATGAAGTAAGATGTCTAAGTAGAGAAGAATTAGATTTGCCATCGTAGCTGATAGAATGAAATATATCGCATATGGTACTGATGATTAGGAATCCCACAAATACTACAAAAACGGATCTGAAATTTAACATTTGAACATGCGACAGGATTAAAGAATTAGAAATACCGTCATTTGGAAGAAATTAGCTTTTACTGACTAGCTCTATGCTCTCATACATTCAATTAAATAATAATTTCGCCTTCATTTATTTGTTATTATATAATGGATAAGTGATAATTAAGTAATGTTAATCTTATAAAGCTTAGGGAACTCACGTGTAAGCAATTAATTCCAAATTCCAGATTTTCTGGTTGATTGCTGAGCAAGTAACAGATTTTACTGATACCTGAAAATCCTTTAGTTTTTCGATTGAATTTATCGTATTGTTAATAAAGTTCTTGATGTCATCCTCCGTGCAACTCGATGGTACACAAATTGAAAGTTTCGGATGCAATTGTATGGTTGTAATATTGGCTATGCCAAAAGTGTACATGCAGTAACGACCGTGAAATTCTACATTATGAAATTGTCCTTGACTAGCAATGCATTCGTCAAACGTGCCCAAATCAATAATATTACCCTGGAGGATACCAGAAGGTATCTTCGATGAGGCATCTAACACTGAAAGAAGTTTCGGCAACTAATAAGTATACATTGTGTGACAATTCAATTACTAAATTTATTGAATCGACAGCTTGAATCAATGACAATTATTTAACCAAATCAATGTATTTAGCCAAATCAACGTATTCGCTTAATATTACATAGAATTAGACGATTAGATACTACCAATTAGGATACTCCCCTTATTAGGATATTCATACTTGAAAATTAGAATATTTAAGATGTAAAAGTACCGTTACTACGATTTTTATATTATACAATTATATAGTTAATCGTTACTTGTAAGTTACACGTATATGCAAAAATTTAAATGTAGCTAAGATGGCAAATTTTAATAAAATAAAAAATTAAAATATCTGACGATTGAATGAATTATTATTAATTATTCAGCACACATGACAATGACAAATTAAAACAATATTTAGAATTATTCGTATCGCCATTAATAACGACTATATTTTTGCAAAATAATATAATATTTTCATGTTAAACTACACACGCGCGCGCGCCCACACACACACACACACACACACACACACACATAATATAAGCATTCGAAAATTTCACAAAAATAATCAAATGAAATTCATACGTGTATTTAAAATGTTTTGCATAATAATATATTATTAACATTTCTCAATATAAATAAAAAATTTGTATATAATAATGACAGCTTATAATTTACTGATAATTAAATAGGGAAAGTAAATGTAATACCATTCTTAAATTAATCGATAAGTCATAAAATAGTTTTTCATAATTTTTATTAATTCATCTTATTTGTTACTAACTTATTTGCTCTTTTTTTTTTCAATTACCTTATCAATAATTATTATAATCGTGTTCGATTATACTTATAGACATTTATATACAGTTAATTTAAAGTTCATTATAAATTAATAACACATCAATGATAATTAATTAATAATACTTTTATTAAAAAAAAAAATAGTAATCAACAAACTCCATAATTTAAAATCTTGAGACAATCTTTTTATACGTATAAACTTATTGTTACCACTCAATTGAACACCTGTTGCTTCGATGCAAAAATTTGTATGACGCGAATAAAGTATTCATTAAGTGTCAAGGAAGTATTGTCGTAATAAAACTAACATTTTAACTAACTTGTTTCAAATTTATTTACAAATATACTTGTACGAATCATAAAATTAAATCATTAGTTAGCTCGTATAGTTTCAATTTCAAGGATATACATCCATACTTGTATTAATTATATTAAATAATTAGTCGAATTTTAATAGGAATTTTTAATAACAACAATGTGGTAAAAATTTCATCATACCAATAAGCTCAAACTGTGGAATATCAAGGAATATTTATATAAAATTTTCATTAAGGTAAAAAATTAATTTTTATATAGGAGCGTAATTATTGTATTACATATAAATAATTAACGGTATTACAATTGTATAACATTAATAAAATCTTATTGGAATTAATTTTTTATCTTAAATTTTCATCAAAAAATCATAATTGCACATTTATGTTATAATATAAGTTAGTTTGTAAATGTAATGTTACGGCAATATAGTTTTCGGTATATTTATAAATTTTATGATTACTTACTTTTCAAAGCCCATAGTTGTTGTTGAAAAATGGCCTTTTTCAGTAACTGAAGATCGCGATTACAAACTTCGCTTACTGTCGTTTGATTATCATTATAAATACTTATAGGATCTCTAGGATTTCCAAAAAATATATTAGAAATAAGAAATACTTGGTTTTCTTTTAAGCGATTGAGTTTTGACAATTCCTCGGAAGCTTTACTTTGAAAATTTGTATGTTTAATTGACAAAACAGGCAGTATGAACGATAAAAAAAGAATGTTTCTTATATGCCAATACATGATGTTCGACTAATCACATTTGATACGGCAATAAGTCGGTATTAATATAAAATAATCAATCCTTTTATCACTTTGTGTATACTACAGAGATAAATCATAGTTATAGATGAATTTGAGTTTACACAAGTGAATTAAGAATATAAGCTTTTTTTTCTCAATTATTAAATTAACAAATTATTTTTATCGAAAACTATAAGATGTTTCGATAAACTTATCTATATTAATTACATCATTCCACTACAAGTTATGATGTTTATATTCATAAATAAAAGAAAATTTGCCAATTATATCAAAGCGATTTTCAATAAAAACTAAATGCATGAAATTTAAACGTTTAAGTTTTCATGTCTTTTCTTAAATTGAAAAATAATATCATTTATCATTTCTATCTTTTTATAATAAATATTAATTAAGAAATTATAATAAAAATTGTAAATTATTTGAATATTTGAAATATGATTCTACATTATTTAATTCAATATATGCGTTTCCTTTAAATTTTCATTAATAAAATTAATTGTAAGTTAATGTTCGAGACAGATTAAAGAATTTAATTTACAATGTACATATGGCATTACGGCACATAATTTCATAAACACGTAAAAAAATCCAAAAAAAAAAAAAAAAATCATTAATTACAATTAAGTTTATATAATAAATGATGATAAAACCTTTCATTACTTAAAACGATTGAATCCATGATCGAGGAAATATATTGAAATATATCGTATATATTCTATACTTTTATCCCATTTCGTGGCAATAACAGATAATACAATTTAAAAAAAAAAGAAAAGAATTTTAATAATGTATTATACATAATTCATCCTTTCTTATTTTCGCGAATTAATTTTTTACCTACAAACTATCTTATAATATATTACTTAATATAATATTATATTTATAGTGTGATACTTCAATTAAAACGCACACCTTTTCATTAAAAATTTACACCTTAATTGTGTACCACTAAAGACCCGTTCAAAATGATAACGTAGATGATCCTAATAAATCGGATTAACACTTACTTTGTCTCAGCTAAGACAAAGATATACTTTAACCTTGCATTAAATAGATAGTGATTTATTGTTTCGGATGTTTACTTCATTTAACGATAATGTCAGAAATTTCTCACAATCATCGCACGATGACTGTTTTAATTCGGTAGTCATCAGATTCTTTAGCGTACGATAAGGTTCAAATTAGGTAAAGTAAATATTATTCCATAAGATTATAACTATATTGATATAAATAGATTAATATCTTATAGAAAAATAATTGAGAAAAAGATCTTAACAGTTTTTAAACATCGTTTCGTATTTATTCATTTAGATCGATAACAAGACTTAATGGACGTAATTACTAGATTTGTAAGGTATGTAATACGTAGGCAAATAATTATTCTAAAAACTTCCAAAAAAACAATGCTCAATTTTTTAGTTCCAATTGAAATAAATTCTATCCTATTATACGCAATAATTATATTTATAATAAATAAATAAATAAAGAAATATATTATGCGTTTCGATAATTGATAAGGAATAAAATTGACAATGTAATACAATATTGCCGCCTCGTTTTTAAAATACTTTTACTTACAGTGTAATTACGTGTAATACATAAAATATCTTTAAAATATTAATAATAATAATTTTATGGGGTATAAGTATGTTTTTTTTTTTTTTTTTTTTTTTTTTTTTTTTTTTTTTTTTTTATGATAAAACTGAAACAAATAATTTGTTATACGGATATGCTTCCTACTTCTTACCTCGTAATTATCATAGGAAAATAGTTTAATTTTTAACCAAAAAAGTTTTATCTTATAGACTTCTTGCTTTGTCTTTTTGTTTGTGAAGAGAGCGACAAGAAATACCTTGTATTATTATAATTTTTCTTCATAAAAGATAAGTATAAATTGTTTGGAAGTTTAAAAAAGTGTTATCAAATATAATAACTATTATAATCCAAGTTATGAGAAAGTCATTATCGTAATCATAAAATTTTGGAAATTTTGAGAATGAAATGGCTTTGCAAGAATAATAATGATATTCACTATTATTTATATCCATCTTACTTTTATCTGTTTTATGTCCTCTATTTCAGAAATTTACGGCTTCAGTAGAGCCTTATGTTGAAAATTTTATATAAATGTATTTTTCAAGTTATTTTCTTTACTATCTTATGAATATAAACTCTAAAGCATCTAAAATATTATATGTATATAAAATATATTATTATATTAGCACAATTTTTTCCAGATTTTTCTCAGATCAGTTTTAAAGTCACAAAAATTTCGCAAATTTTACAAACTTCTTAATCTAACAATTAACAAGATTAAGTGATTTGTATTTTTATTAATACGTATTGTATCTTATATTCTCTGTGCTTCCAAAAATACATTTACATGTTTTTGGCAACGATATAACCAAACCATACATATACACATACACACATTCGCCATTAATTAAAAAAATATACATCTTCCATAATATAATAGCACCTTTCATAATAAGCTAAAATTTTTATAAAATTACTATTATTATATCGTTATTAAACATTGAATAATATTTTTTATATTATTTTTTAATTTACATCATTATTCGTTAGTTGGACTTGCCTGCGGCATTATGGGACAGAAGAGAACATTTGTTATCAATGGATAATGCTATATGTTAAAGAACAATAAATGAAATTATTCAATATTATTTAAACATATATTAAAGAAATTTTGTAGATGATTAAGAAAAATATATAGAATACTTAGACATTTGAGAAAAATAGTTAGAAATATGAAATACTAAATATAAGCAAAGATAAAATAGAAACGGCAAAAGAAAGAACGATGTATTTTTTTCAATCAAGATGAGTACAATAATTTACGTAAAAATGATCATTAAATGATTATCGTAAAATAACTTAATAAATGCTTTGGAAATGATAATGAGGGATTAAGAAAAATTTAATGAAAATTAAGGAATTTTATTAATTGTAATAATTAATTTCATAAATAACAAGCACGATAAATAATAATGATTAATCCTATTGGAATTATTTCAAAGAGATAATAAATATTATTCAATTTAACATAATATAGCGACATATCAATAAAATATTTAAATGCTCTAATGTTTGTATGCCTAATAATATTCGAAAAGGATATACCAATTACTTTTTATTTCTACTACATATGTACTAATGATGAACTATATTAATATAAATGTTATTAATAATTATATAAATAATTTAACAAAAAATTTGAATTTGAATATATATATATATATATATATATCAAAAGTATAAAGATGAGGAATTGAAATTTTATATATTTCATTAATTTTAAGTTATCCAATAAAAAAAATCTAAATTTGAATGAATTTAATAGTAAACCTTCTATAAATATCATTGTTAGATACTCTGAAAATTTCGTTTAAAATGTAAAAGGAAAATAACGTAAATATATAGTTATTCGTGTTTTTCAATATGATAAATAATTACGAATTACTAAAAATTTTAGTTTCTGATATGTAATAAAAATTGAGCACATAGCAAAGTATTATTCGAGGATAGAAATAAATATTATGATGTTTCGTTACTCGAGTAATTTATTCAAATAATCCTTATTTGTTTTTCTCGAATGAAGCATTAGCTAAGGTGTTTTTTTTTCAACCTCAAAGTTATAATTATTTGAAATTAGCCTTTTTCAAAATCCAGAATAAATGTCCATTCATTTTGAAGATACACGTTTTATAATAATAATATTGCATATCACGATATTTCTTTAAATAATATTGAAGCGATAAATATAATATAACAATAACTAAATTATATTTCTATTCATTATAAATAAATTCTGGTGTGCAAAAATAGTACTTCAAAATATTTGAAAGCTTCCATCGATAAATTACCAACTCAAGACATGAACGTGTACTGTTAGACAGCAGTTTACGAATAAAGGTAATATAGATCTCTAACTGTACAACTTTTTTTAAGAAAAAAAAAAATAATAATAATAATACTATAAACATGTAAAAATTACTTTTACGTACATTTATTAAATAAAAGGACAAGAAGATAAAATGAATGAATATTCGATTTTTTTAGATTTTCAGTATTGATCTTATCTACTGTTCTAATTATGCTGAATTTTTTTCAATCAATAATTGTTTGGAGTGTTATACGGAATTCTAAATTTATATTCAAAAGTTTTACAATTCATTATTTAAAAATACAAACTAAAATTTCTGATATATATTAATTTACGACCGATTATTCTGAATTCTATATAAACGCGTTTAACATTACTACTTCTAATAACGATCGGTGTTATTAATATAATGAAAAAATAAATAAAATCAGGAGGCGATGTGAATACACCACTAATGATTCAAGGACTTTAAGGGAAAAAACAAATTTTCAAAGTATCTCCAATTGTGAGCGATAGAAAAATATTGTTGAGTATTGGGCTTCAATGCGCAATCTACTTTCGCTATCTCCTTAAATAATAATAATGGCAAAAAGTCATGGGAATCAGAAAAAAATTATACTAAACTATTTTCAGTACATCGAACAACATCATTGACGTACTTCAAAATCGGTGTTCGATATATTTATGGGGGTTGTTAGCATGGAAAATATGTATTTATCCGATGGTTGTGAAATTCGTAAAATATCTATTCTATCATCTTTATTATTAAATATTCATTTATAATTTATCTAAAATCTATAAAAATGTTTATATCATATTGTATTTATAAAATCATGTTTCAACTAATTTCTAAATGGATACAAGATTATAAATGCATAATTAAAAATATAAAAATTATATATATATATATATATATATTGTAACTCTAAAATAAAGATATATTGAATAATTATTGTATATAAAAATTAAAGTATATTAAATATTAAATAAAGAATGAACTGATAAATTGAATAAGAATTTCATAATTATTTATTATGAAATGTGTATGTTTTAAGAAATTACATATCTTGGAAGAAATTTACAATATATGAGGAAACAATATATATATATATATATATATATATATATATATATATATATATATATATAATATAAAAATATATAATAACCTTTTTATAATGTTCTATATTGTTTTATAACATATAAGGAGGAATAGCATTATTTTATTAGTATGTCTTCGTTCTTTAATATTTCACTCACAGGCACAGCGATTCGACTATCGATCACTTCTATGAATTTATGTATTTTTTTTTTTTTTATCGTGTCTAACACTATTCAAATACATACACTAAGAAACCGCTGTTTAATTAACGGAATAACATTTTAATAAAAGAATATTGAAATTCCAAACTATGCTTTTATAACAACCACCATAAAATTTTTTAAAAACACTGCAGGAATACATATGTTTTATAGATAATCATTTACATATGCTGTACATTAACATTTATTTTTTTTAATTTTGAATTCCCAGAAATAAAACATATGTAAATGAAGATTATAATTATAATCCTGTTTGAGATGTTAGCTACATTGTGCCTGTAAGACTACATCACTTAAGGAAGAACAAGTAAAAATCTAGATTCGTAACAATGAAAAGAATCACATTTTTATTATTAAGCTAATTATTTTCATTTTAAATATTCACAATAAATATAATAATCTTTGTATTAGCATCGAGTATATAAAATGCAATTTGTATTAAATAGAGAAACATTTTATTGATACCGCAATCATTTCATTTAATTTCATAAAAATTTATCGAAAATGTAATATTTGTTAAATAATAAATAATGTCTCAATTTACCTCTTTTCATATCTAAATAGTGAGTAAATTTATTGTCAATTGTATATATGTGCTTATCATTGTATATTGCATATAAAATGCAATTCAATTTATAATAATCGTTATATTATAACAATGAATGTACACTATAATAATGTTTTAAATTTTATTTTAATATATTTTTTTAATTTGTAATACATTTTTCTTTAATATCTTATTATTATTATTATTATTATTATTATTATTATTATTATTATACAGTTCTATTAATAATTTTATTCGTCCTAAGCTATTAATATATGTCTTTTGAAAGAAAACTTTATATACCATAAATAAAAAATTGATTAATAAGAAATAAATGCATTATATTATATGAATACTGAATTGCGCGGACTTGTGCATAAACTTCGATATCAATTGTTCGGCGTTTTACTCATTTACATATGAGAAATACTGAAAAAATATATTTGAAAATATTAAAATAACTAAAAATTGACTAAAAATAGCTTTGCAAGAAAATAAAAAATTATTGTAAAGCAAATGATAAATTGTAAAGACAAAAGATTTCGATTGACTCGATGGAAACGCTAAGTATCATTTGAAAACATAGAAAAACTCTTTGCAATTATATATATTTGATCAAACTCCAAAACTGAATAATTAATTATGTTGATATAAAAATAATGTCACTTTATTATAATCTTATATGAAAAGATAGAATAGAATATGTCAATCGTTGCGCAAAGAAATAAATTAACTGGCATTCTCAATTATAAATATGTATTTTACTTATTCCATTCATAAACGACACAAATGTTTATTATAATTGCAAGTATCAATCTGCATTCGCATTTTAATTATTATAAACTGAATATATACGTTATTAAATCTAACAAGAATTTTGATTACACATATTAAATTGTACAAATTAAAAAATTAATGTACAATATAATTTAGTAATTATTGAATTAAAAAATAAAGTATATCTTATATTATACAGATATTAAATTCATAATTTTATTTTACTAACACTATTTGACTTAATAATAATAATTAAAATGCAATATCATCAATGTCGATTTATACAAATATCTTTCGATTGCTTTGTCGCACAAAAAATTAAAATAAATGTAAAACTAGATTGGAAAACTAATTGTCTGATATATTTATATAATCCAAATATATTCAGTTTTTGTTCTTCTTACATTATTAATGGAAAATCGAAAGATTAACGTGTGTGGCTTCGGTCATGGGCTCAGAAAAATATTATATTACGTTTTCTCGTTCAGTCTCTTCTAATATTTAAAATTCTACACGTTACGATACCTAAAATTACAATAATATTTTATAGCCATTATCGTTGCGTAGATAAATTAAAGATTATTATAATTTTATTAGAAACTTTCTCTTAAAAAGTGAAAACATAATACTTTAATACCGAGCATGATCTTTAGACATTCGTCTAATGTCTAACGCAATTAAATTTAATAGTATTTATTAGTAGTCAACTTTCTATTTACAGTTATTATTATTTTCTAATCATATTATGTTATTATTAAATATATAGAAGAAATACATATAAATTGAATTTTATGTACAATTAATACTTCTCATTGAATTAATTCTATTATAAATTAAGTATATCCTGAACGCAAAAGAAACATTACAATATATTATCTGTAATGTCAGTGTTAATTTAGAAATACACAACCTTGTTACAAAGTGTAAAACTACTAAACAAGTTTTCCAATCTGATATAATCGAATGAGACGATAATGATTTTTCGAATTATTATATCAACTTCAGTAATAATATTGCAAATTAAACATAAAAAGAATTGATGTCGCTATCACAATTGAGGTTTATTGAAATTCGAAAGATATTTCTTGCATTACGAAAGCTCAAGAGATTTTTATGACGTAATATTTATTGAATGGGATTTGAGCATTCCAGTGTCATGTCCACCATGACGTTTAATCTATGCGAATTTCATACGCGCGTTCGGGATTGAAGTAATTTCCAAGTCCGTTGACTATCGGCATCGCCAGTCTCTTTAGATCTCAGGTTTCTGTAAACACTTGAATACGAGAAGTTTCGTGTACTTGTTATGTTTTTATTTCAAATGGCCTACAATGTTTATGGTCTTGGAGCAGTAACGCAGCTTGGAATTCGTCAAATTTCTTAAGCCTCGTTGTTTTCATGCAGTTGTCGAATCTTCTATATTTTTCCTTCTGCGCCCCATGTAAGATTCAGCCATTGGCTTTTGCCCTGCACTAGTCGCTCAGCTACATCACACAACGAAACCATCCAACGAATACACGTTCCATCGTCACGTGCGCTACACTTGCAAGCAGTCAATGGTGTGAATGCATTACGAGAAACTACACAACAAGCCACGATAAGCATAGTCTCCAGATATGTTCATATATACTCTTCAAGGCCACACAAAAGTGCGAGCACAGAAGTGTGAGCATATCTTTCTTTGCTAGTTCTTACAACACTAGCAGAGGCCACGACATCGTCACCGTCAAGAAGCAAACTCATCATTGAGACAAGACGAAGCTTACACTCAAAAGCCTACACTGTGTGTGACAAGTGAAATCTGCTTATTATTAATGTAACTATTAATAAACCATGCGTTAATAAATTTTGCACATACTACTCGTTTTTACAACCCTTCCACTTCAAGCCCCACCCAAGCATCTACTAGAGCGAGCGGCAATTTATTAAAGCTATCGAAACACTGGCACTTCGAGTCAGGAAATAATACCACTTTCGAACAATACGTAATATTTAAAATGTGATAAGCGAGAGATTTAATTTTTTTAAATTAATTTTGTCTTACATATACTTCGGTGGAATTGTCCAAAACAATTGTAACGAATATATTTCTAAAAATATGCAAATTACATATATAGAGAATATACTTTCATCTTATAATCATAATAAAGTTCATAGACTAAATGTTAATTTGAGCGATGAATTGATCAATTCTGTTGAACATTCATAAATTTTAATACATTTACAACCAATAGATTGATTTTTTTTTTTTTTTTTTTTT